TTTTTTTTGTTTTTAATGCCAGGTAACTATCACCAGGGCTTGGCACTTGGTTGCTTTATAGCTGGTCTGGGTCTAGGAACCAACCAGGCTAAGCCCTTGTGAGGTACCAGTGAGAATCCTGGATCGTAGGGTAAGGTGGGCCTGCTGCAGATCTCTCAAGGATGATGCATTCCATGCCTGGTCCTGTCACCCTCCCAAGACACTTGTGGCTTCTGTGGGTGCTGAGAAGCTCAGGGGCTGGGCTGATTTGGAAGGGAGTGGGAAGGGGAGTAAAAGAGCTAAATTCTTGGCTGAACTAACAATGGAGGGGAGACTGGAAGAGCAAGGAGTCCTCGGAGTGTCTGTAGGCTGGGACCCCGGGTGCTGGGAGAAGTGGGGAGGGGGCAGGCAGCTGCCTTTTCCCAGATGCCCCAGGAGCACAACTGAGCTGTGGGGCAGAGACGAAAGCCAGAATGCTTTCTTGTGGTTTCAGAGTATTACCCATTCTATTCTTCATCCCTACTTTCTGCCTTATCTCTGGAGCCTGGAAAGCAGGAAAAAAAAAGCTGGTCTGGCCCTCCCACCTTCCCAGTAAACACAACCACATTGCTAGAAAAATTCCAACTCAGCTACGGCCCAGCCACCCCCACCCCACGCCTCATCTTTCAGACACAGAGAAACCCAAGCACACAAAGACATGTCAGTGCTGTGCTTCTTCCCAAGCAGGGAGCAAGTCCCCCATCAGATCAGATTTCTGAGCTAAGAGGGTTGCTGTGATGCGGCCATGCATCCCCAGAGGAGTCACTCCTCCATCCCTCCATCCCTTTCCTTCCTTTCTAGCGGCTTCATTTTCCTCTGTCCTACCACTGGCAGGAAGGTTAGAGTCAGACATGAGGGACTCCCTCGGCTACCCCCTGGGAGCTTCCTACAGGTAGCTCTGTGTATTGCTCCAACATGGAAGTGGGGCTCAAGCTCCACCTCTGACTTTAGGACTCACACCATTTCACTAGAAGTTTCTTCACCCAAGGAATGGTCAGCTAAGGCTTGGACTTTGTGCCATACCCAAGCCAGAGAACTGCAGAGAAGTTTCTCCTACAGGGTACTGTTGAAGTTCTACTCTGTGCCAAGTATTGTTCTGTGCCAGACTGAGCAGTGATCAAGAAAAGCTTGCCAGGCACTGGTGACTCATGTCTTGAAAATAATCTTAGCTACTCAGGAGACTGAAATCTGAAGATTGAAGTTCAAAGCCAGCCTATGCAAGAAATGTCTGTGAAACTCGTATATCCAATTAACCAGCTGAAAGTGGAACTGTGGCTCAAGTTTAGAGCTCCAGCCTTAAGTGAGAAAGCCCCAGCAAGTACTGAGTTCAAATACTGACACAAAACAAGAAAAAAAAAAAAGCATGCTTCATCTCCTCTCATCTTAGAAAGAGGGAAAGAGAAGGCGAGGCTCAAGCAAAGAAGCCAGAGTAAGAGAAAATAAAGTTGGGCCCAAGATCAAGACAAATGCTGTGGACACAGCAGGAGTGGAAGAGGTCTATAGTGGATACGGGGCGGGGGGCGGGGGGAAGGTGCAGGGAGTCTAGAGACTAGCTACTGGCTTCCATCCAGGGTCATCTACCCACAGCTCATATTTTTCTGTCTAGTGACAGCTAAATGAAGAGAAAGCTAACTTTACAACCGCCCACTTCACACATAATGAATATGAATGGGCATCCTGGAGCCTGTTCCATGGGATTATCTGTGAGCTGACAGTCCTCCCACTGACTGGACCATCCCAGCCTGCCTGTCCCCTGGCTAGGGCACGAGCAGGCTTTCACCTGCTTCCTATTAGCTGTGTCCTCTCCTCCCCTACACCTCCAGGTCTTCAGATGCCCCCGCCCCCAGGCTCACTCGAGGTAACCCGGCACCTCAGCCTAGATCCTCTATTCTCCAGGGCTGCTCACTGTTCTCTGGCCCCCTCCTGGTACCTCATCTTTGGGAGAGTTTCTGTTCTCAGTCTCTTTTGGCTGAGGCTCTTCTCTGCTTCAGTGAGGCCCACCCAAAGGTTCAAGCTTTAGATCTTGGTTATTGCAGGGGCATGGATACCAGGTCAGTACTGGAAGCCCTAGCTAGGGGCCCCATTAGTCCAGGCTTCCTGCCTCAGTCAGGCAGTGAGAAATGTTTCCTGTCAAAGGCATTCGATCCTCCTTCTCTACAGACACATCAAACCGCACTTCAACCTCAAAGTGTAGCCCCTCTGTAGTACCAGACAGGAAGTCGAGAGGTATTTCCCTAGCAGAGAAGTATGTGTCTCACTCGTGACCCAGCCTCCAGGTAAAGAGCAGTGAGCACAGAACATCTGCTCCTAGGACCCTTCTTCATGAAACCAGAGCCCTCCCTTCCCCCTCCACCACTGTGGGATGCCCTACCCCCACCTCTGTTTCTCCTCCTCAGGGAACAAATTGGCTGGAGTCACTAGATCTTATGAGTCCTTCTGATGTATGTCTATCTTTGGGAGAAAGGAATGACCTGGTGTCCTCTTCATCTGGACATCCCAGGCACCTAGCACAAGGCCTGGCCCACAGCAGGGCTTCACAGTGTGATGGAAGAGCTGCAGAATGACTGGATCTTCTGAGAGGCCTCTGGATTCAGAGTGCTGGGCTAGGTCAGGGATGTAAGGAGCCTCAGACACAGTTCTGGTCCCTGAGGATTTGTTTGCCATGAGATACACAGATTCAAATTCATAGGGAAATTAGAGTTGGGAAGGGCCATAAGCAATGCTAACAATGCTACTACTTCTTGTTATCCTTTGTCAGCCAGTATGTGGGTACATTCCCTGCTTGTTACCTTATTCAGCCCTTGCCACAGGGCTATCATGAAACTAAGTTTAACAGGTAAGCCAACTGAGGCTTAAGGCTTGATTAGCTCAAGGTCCCCAGTGAGTACATGCCAAAGCCCAGATTAAAGATCAGGGCTGTCTTACTCCCAGAGGGAGATCATCTTGTTTTACACCAGCAGCCTGAGGCTGACTGTGCCAAGTGCCAAATGAGTGCAGCAGCCATTGTTGTCCTGAGAGTCAGTTCACTAAAGGTCAGACAGGAAGCCAGCCTCTAGGAAGGTATGGCCAGGGCAGCTGATACAGGTGTCCTCTGAGACCAGGAGAGAAAGAAATTGAAGCTCAGGATGAAAAGGGAAAAAAGATAAAAAAAAATAGCAGCAACTCCCAAGTTAAATCAGGGCACATTCAAACAAATCACAAATTACGCCAGGGTCGTCTGATTGGTTCAGTTAGGGCCTAAAGCAAGGAACATTTGTCATGAATCTTCTGTGCTATGCCAGAGCAAACTCTCAGTATTGGCCACAATGAACACATGAGCACACAGGCTAGTGGAAAATGCCACAGCATAACAATAATTAATAAAGTGGCAGAAGAGGGGAACACATGTACATGATGGAGATCTGGATTTGAATGCTGGCTCTGGCCTCTATTTTTTTGTATAACCTTGGGCAAATTAACTTTCTTACCTGCAAAACAGGGGCTGCAATGGTATTTGCCATTATGATACCTTTCAGGGTTCTTATTAAAAAAAGTAAGTGGTATTCCGCTGGGTACCAGTGGCTCATGCCTGTCATCTTAGCTACTAGGGAGCATAACGTATACAGATCATGGTTTGAAACCAGCCAAATTAGGACACTCCATGAGACTC